ACCACACATTCTATTAATAAAATAATATTACACATAAATCTAAAAATTCTCTTTACTTTTTAACCACACATTCTTCCAATCAATCACTATTTAAAAACACATTTTTCTACTAAAATGGATGTCAGACACCCCCAAAATAAGATGTCCAATAGCTTTGCACAATTGCACCGTTTGGCAACAGACATTCAAAATAGTTCTTGTCAGAATTCAATCAATTCACACGGTGAACATATTCTCAGGGAATCCACATTAGTTGTTTTAAAATATTTCATCTGTTACGGGGTTAATTTTGAGTCTTTGACCATCACTGAGCCTTTGGCTTTAATCTCTCTCAACTAGATAAAATGAATACCCAAACATGATGAATACAATATTAGATTATGTTTTGAGTGCTGTATCACTATCACTGTATCACATACAAATGATATGAAAGGAAGCACTGAACAGAGATGAGAGCTGGTGTTTCACTGCTTTGAGAAACAAAATTTATTCTAACTAACATTAAACATCAATTTCAAATGACCAAACAAAATTTAATAAAAATAATTTTTTAATTAAAAAAACACGGTTCGGTTTGGTTTTGTGCGGTTTTTGAAAATTGAAACCTAAACCAAACCATTTTCAAACTGTTTGGTTCGGTTTGAGAGAAAAAAAATCACGGGTCCACATGAACCCAAACCAACGACTTCGATTCGGTTGATGGTTTTGCGATTTTTTTGTGCAGCCCTACCAAGGGCTTCACCGCCCCCGCCGCCTAGGGCCTCACCGCCACCGTGGCCATCACTCACCTTCTCCACCGTCCATTGATCTATATGACCGCCCGACAGTATTTATAGCGGGTCAGACGAGATGGCACGCGAGTTTAGGGAATGGGTCGATGATTTATCCAATAACATTGGAGTTCTCCGTCGCCAGGTGGGAGATCTTGGATGTGTTTATTTAATTACATTTGAAAAATGAAAGATTAGTTTACAAATTATATTTAATTAAAGAATTTTGAATTAATTAAAATATTGAAAGGAAAAAAAATAAGAATTTGCTAACACGTTAAAAAATAATATTTCATTTTCGTAATTATCAATTTAAAATTATTTATTTCACTTTTTATATCAAAATTGAAACAAAAGGAATTTTTTTAAATTAATTAAACA